CTTTAAATATCTTTAAAATTATTTCCTTTCCTTTAATAATGACACTCGATGAAGTATCACTGAAAATAAGAGTTCGGTGAATCCGAACTAGTTAGGAGCATATGTAACCAGGTTTTGTTCGGTACACACAACCAAATTATTCGGTCTGCTCAACCATACTGTTCGGTCCGCTGAACCGAACTATAACAAATTCTTATAGTTCGGTTCAGTGGACCGAACAGTACGGTTGAGCAGACCGAATAATTTGGTTGTGTGTACCGAACAAAACGTGGCTCCATATGCTCTCAACTAGTTCGGACTCATTTTTTCGGATTCATTTTTTTTCAGTGTACCATTGCGTTAAGTCGCAACTGCTACCGCACATTTTTCAAGTATGAATGAGAATCGATTCGATCCTTCAATTTGAAAGCTCTTCGAAACACCTTCCCCTAACGCGAGCGGAGCTTCCCTCTCCATTGTATGTGCTTCACTTTCTTTCCAATTTCAGCGCATAAACAACAGATTCGACTGGAAGCGCAAATAAAACGAGTGAAATGTCTGTTTGAAAACCTCGCATATACATTACTTCATAAACTTTAATTTAATCAGTAAAACGATTCTTTGAACCTATTAGCAGTTATCGTCTATCTGAAGTTCGCCCCCAATTATGCCGCATAGACAAAAAACCTAAACTAAGGAGTGCGAATAGCGCGTATCTGTATCAAGCTGTGTCTATCGATATTAGCTGTATCTTTGAAAAACACACTTTTGTCTCGCACCACAAACTTTGATAGCACCAGTAGACACAACTTAAATCTCTTTGCTCGTGATCCGCCTTCAATTTTGTCGCATAGGCAACAAACATACCGGAGAGCTCGAATAGTTATCTTTTCAAAAAAACTTAAGTATGTTGCTCCGTAAACTTCGATAGGACCAATGGACAATACGTAAATTTATTGACAGGCATAGTCTGCTCGAGGCTCCCCCTCAATTTTGCTGTACAGAAACAAACATACCGGAAGCTTGAAAAATTAGCTATACAAAAAACGCACGTTTATCTCGCTCCGTGAACTTTCGTCAAACAAGGTTGCAAGCTTTCAATGCCTTTGTCAACTTTAAGGAACGTAAAAACGGATAAATTTCTGTTGCAATTACGCAATAACAATCCCAATTATTAAATTACAAATCAGAGTGAATCATTCGTGTACTTGAACCGCGCCAACTTAATCAAATTATGAATAAATTTTCGTCTTTATCCCCCTCCCAGTTAAATCTTATACTCTAAATATTCGCAAGCTGAATGCATAGCTAAAATGCCCTCCAGCCAGAAGTTTATTTAGCAAATGGGTAATTTTTACAGGAGGATTATAAATAAACAAGTGGTTAGAAATGAAAACAAAAGAATGTGAACTATGCAAAACGATAATCCAGACGTCGGAACTTGGCTGTTTTGAAAACGCCTTCAAATGCGGCGTGATACCTCACGCATTCCGGAGAGTTAAAATAGTTGTATCGTTGCGCCTTAGAAATGCGACGGAAGATTGCAATTGAAATAGCCTTCATGCATGCTGGCCTTTTCGATTTCCGTGAACATTTTTGCAGTCATGAATGCGCTGAAGTGCGCTTCAGCTAGAATTGTATTTAGCAAATGGGTGGTTTTTATAGGAGGATTATAATTAAACAAATGGTTAGAAATGGAAACAAAATAATATGAACTATGCAAAACGATTATTCCGATAACGGAACTTGGCTGTTTTAAAAACGCCTTCAAATGCGGCGTGATACCTCACGCATTCCGGAGAGTTCAAGTAGTTGTATCATTGCGCCTTAGAAATGCGACGGAAGATTTAAATGGAAATAGCCTCCATGCACGCTGGGCGTGTCGATTTCCTTTGACATTTTTGCAGTAGTGAATGCATAGTTGAAGTGCGCTCCAGCTAGAATTGTATTTAGCAAATGGGTGGTTTTTCTACTAGGATTAAATATAAACGAGTGGTACGGAACATAACAAAAGAATATGAACTATGCAAAACGATAATCCGGGTATCGGAACTTGGCTGATTTGAAAACGCCTTCAAATGCGGTGTGACACCTCACGCATACCGGAGAGTTCAAATAACTGTATCATTGCGCCGTAAGAATGTGACGGAAGATTTAAATGAAGATAGCCTCCATGCACGCTGGAATTGTCGATTTCCTCTGAAATATTTGCAGTGGTGAATGCATAGCTGAAGTGCGTTTCAGGTAGAATTGTATTTACAAATGGGTGGTTTTTCTACGAGGATTAAAAATAAACAAGTGCGTCCGATTAGTCGTATAAATTCTAAAATTTCTTGGGGGATGCCCCTCGCCCCCCCCCCCTCCGTGCTTGGGGCCCGGACCTTGAAACTGGTCCGAAATGGGATGTGGCGGGCCTGTATGTTAATGCCATTGAAGTGCTAGTTGTTTTAATTTAATCAAATGTGGCATTGAAAACGAAAAAATTAAAAAAAAAATCACTTCTGACCGAAGAGTCAGTGAATTTTTCGCTGTAAGTTTTTTTTTTCAATTTTAGTTGGCAAAGGAACAGAAAGCGTTGAATTCACCAAACATAGCGTGTGAGAGAATGTTTTTAAAACTTTTCAGGCTCCCTCCCCGGATTTCTCTTAAGCTTTAATGTGTCCTTCTTTATCGGGTACTTAAATTAATCTGGCACCCGAAAGAAAAATTCACAAATTCGGCCTTGAAAAGTGAAACTATAAAAAGACGTGTTTCGGTTTGCGATGATGCAGATCCCTTATTTTTCTGCAATTTTTTGGAGGAAAATCAAGTACCGCTACTCTTTTCCTTTTCAAAATTTTTCTGAAAATAGTATAGACTAATATTTCATAATTTCAGTACTTTTGCAAAGATGAAATCAGCAGGCATTTTTTATGAAATGGCAAGAAAGGTACAAGGGTATACGTGTCTCCCTCATTTTACCATTACCATGTATGATCATCAAAATTTCGTGATAATTAACGCAATACTTATTTGCCCTAGCTGTTAAAGGTTTTTTCACTCAAAAAAGTCTTGAAAAAAGAGCCTCAGTACCTTTTTTTTTTCGTAGAAAGAATCAAATGTAGGCAGAAACTTCATGAGTGAGCCATGCACGTAATTCCGTGTTTTTGTAATTTTACCTTCGTTCCGCTTTCCTTCGTCTTCCCACAGCTGGGTTGATTCAGCTCATTGTCATGTATTTTTGGATTAAGTTCTCGATCATGATTGGTTTCCGACATTTAAAACTGCATTATTTTTCTCAACCTGAACCAGATTCTTTCGCATAGCTATTATCATTAATCAGGGTTGCCACAGTCAGGGAAAACCGGGAAATTTCATGGAAAATAACGAAAGTGTCAGGGAAAATGACGAAAATGTCCGGGAAAATTTGTTAAATAACCTTCATTTGCTTTCTAGAATGGGTTTGAGATTTCGCACAACAAATTTTACCTGAAAACTATTTTCAATTATGTCTTCTTAACCATCCGTCCCATCTTCAAGTGCCAGGGAATTCAACCAAAATGTGTCAGAGCATAGAGAAAAAAAGGAGGTGTTTGCATCTTGAGGTTGGTTTACCCTGTGACGTAGGTCGGTACAACCTGGCGAGCGAAATCTACAATTCGAAGTATGAAATACGGACTATATTGTCCCATTTTTTGCTTGAATCAACTCATGATATAATTTCAAGCTCTTTTTAAGAATGGCTCTCTTTCATAAATTACACCATTTCCAAGGAAATCGATGATAAAGGTCGCTGTACCGACCTACGTCATCAAACAAATTCCAAGATGCCCGAAATGCAAACACCTTTTTTTTCTCTATGGTGTCAGGGAAATCAGGGAAATGTCAGGGAATTTCTTTTCCTAAATTCCGTGGCAACCCTGAAAGTTCCAACGGCCGACTAACAACAAGCCGAACGGTACGTGCATGGCAGCGACCGGAGCGAGAGGTCGTCGTCCGTTTTGGGGTTTGATTTTCGGCCCCCATCAAAGGAAGGGGGGCGGTGGGCGGGGGGGCAAGGAGGAGGGTGTTTGGGGGCTCGGCCCCTCGTCGCGGCGACAAATCAGCGGCGCGCGAGGCGAGGACCAAACGGTGGCGTCGGGACGCCGGCCGCGAAACCGGTTCCGATGCAATCGGCGAAGATCCGACTCGGTCGGTCAGTCGCCACTCGGTTCCGCCGCCGAGAAGAGGAAGAGCGAGGAGCGTGTCGCCAAAAGACGCAACCGGTTCCGCGTCAATTCGCCGGCCCCACCCCCGTGCGCCCCCCACAAGTGCCAAATCCATGCCCCGCCAATGCAGAGCCCGTCTTTGCATCCCCCAAGTGCCAAAAATATTCTGAGGTCTTTCGCCGTGCCTGGCGCCATCGATACGTATTCGGTCGAATCCTCTCAGAGAACTGCTCAATTCGTTCCTGAGCCCGTCTTTGCATCCCCAAGTGCCAAAAATATTTTGAGGTCTCTCGCCGTTCCTGGCGCCATCGATACGTATTCGGTCGAATCCTCTCGGAGAACTGCTCAATTTGTTCCTGATCGGGGTCTTTTCCTGAAAATTTCCGACCGAAAAATAGCTGCTCAAAAATTCACTGCTCAATTACTTTTAACACCGTTGCCTCTTTCTTATTAGTTCTGTTAATTTAAATTTGAATCTTCTGTTTTCCAAATCCGGAATAAATTGAATAGTAAACTTTTTTCATGCTCACTTGGAATTTTGCGCGACCGATCTTGCTTTTTAAATACTATCGATCATGGTAGTACTGCGTTTGTTAGTTGCGGGAACACTACACTAGATGTAAATTATTTAATTATTTCGTTACGCTTGCCATATTTTAAAGGAAACGTCAAATAGTCAAAATTCATCCTGATTTTTTGCATTTTTAATTTATTGCTGTATAATAAATTACTTGCTTCTCTCGTAGTTTTCGTGCCAAAGAGCATCCATCTATGAAACTTTTTTTTTAATTTTAAAAAAAACTAAGTGCCCGAAATTCAAGGTGAATTTCTACCCTCTTTTCTCAGTCGTAAATAAAACATTTCGTGGGGTGAGTGACATTTACCTAAAAAAGTTGGCTCTTTTTTGACTCGAGATTGCGGAGAACTTTCCCACTTAATATCATTTCTGCATAATTAGAATTACGTCTTATCGAGACAATTTGTCGTCTTCGCTCAGTTAGTTTAAAGTGCGAATTTTTACTCTCTCCAAATCGAAGTGCCTTGGTGTGAAAAAACAAACCGAATGAAATTGTGCGCTGTCGTGATGTGTGGGTCGTGAAGACACTTAAACATGGAATATTCGTCTCACCTGAAAATTTGATCATCGTGAAGTGTGCCTTTCAGGATTAGCTCTCAATTCTCCGCATGTAAGTAACCTATAACTGCACCATAGTTGCATTTTTAAACATTATCACTCACAAAATTCAATTACCTGAATCGAAACACCCTTGTCATCCTCAGCTTTGAAAAATGCGCCGTAATCATCCTGACATTGATGAACATCTTTCAAATGACATTTCTTATTCTTAAAAAAAAAAAAAACAAAGTCGATGTCGTTGACAATACTATTCCGCGGAGTCGGTGTCCAGTGACACTTGCGAAAAGACAGTGATCTCTCGTTTTCTAATACTTTATTTCATTTTTTCTCGGATCAGTTCCCTTTACGGAACAAAACCACCCCATAAGTAATTTCTGCCTCTAATTTATTTCACCCTGGTTTACACTAACAGTAATTTTTCCTTAGAAACAATAATAAGCCGCATGCCTTAAAATTATAATCCTTCTCGATTATGTAGATGAAACACACACAAAACAGGTATACATGAAGAAAAACAGAGGTGAAGGTATTAGTTTTTGGAAGGAGTCTCGAGGCATTTTAAGTTCTGCCTACCCTTAGATGTGATAACCCGATGCAGAAAGCGTAAGTCCAATGGAAAAGGACAATTGATTCAAAAGAAGTGTTAAGGGTGCAAGTCTTGAGCGATGTTTTAAAGAGTTGTGTTGCTAGAGCAGCATCTGGCATCTTACGCGCAAGAAAATGAGCGCATCTTTCGTAAATGTACAGAGATTGTCAAACAAAATAAATACCCAAACTAAAAATTTTATTTTACGAGGATAAGCTAAGATGTTATAGTGTGTCACCAGCTTCCTTTTATTTACTTTAGGTACTATTTTAAATTTTTGAAGAAGCAACTGATTTCTATCTATTCATTGTCTGCATGTGGAAATTCTTGGAAAGCTTTTATCCTGCCGCGAAAGCTTTTGAGCTTTCGTTTCGAAAGTTTGGTCGTTAAAACTAACCAAGGGCGGGGAATTCAGGATCCTAACCAATCTTCCGCTCTAGGCCTTTTACTGCACAGTGGAATGGACTTATAGAAAAGGTCGGGTATGAAATTTTTGGCTTAAATTTCAAATTTTTATGTTTATTTTGTCACAAATTCAATTTCCCAGGATGGTTCTGAAAGGAAATTTCACAAAAAAAAACCAATAGAGCCTCTCTTAAACTTTTTAAAATGAGCTTTCAAAATTTCCAAATTTCGTCCGACTCCTCCTATTGACTCTCTCCAGTGTGTGCCGTAAAGGGTAGTGCGTGATTTTTATTTTTTCGAATGCATGTGCGATCACGAGTTTGAAAGTTTATCAATACACGAATTTGCACCTAAAAAAACTCCAGTATACAAATCGTAACTGGAACCCTTTGAGTACTAAAAAAGTGAGAAATTGAAACACACTAAAGTTTTCATTAAGTTAGGTATCTACTAGAGTGTTATTTAAATCAAGAGTAACAAAGTAATTAGAATTTTTTATTTCATTCATTTAAATTTTATCCAGAGCTTATAAAAGAACATTCATAAAATATTCGTTTCCAGTGGGTATAAATCCATAATTTTAAAGTATTCTTACAATTATTTTTCTTTACACCGTCAATAAAATACCGTTATATGAGTGTCGGATATAGTCAAAAATTCCATTTGTAGCTTGTAATTTATTTTTACTTAAGGACGTCCAGACGGTGTGTTCGAGCAAATTCTGCATAATTGAATTTTAGTAAGCTAAAATTTAAATGAAATTAGAGGATGACGGTCGTATTACAAAAAAAGCTTCAAATCAGAACTGAACACAAGGTTTTTCTTTTATTTTCTTTTTCTTTTTTTTTTTTTTTTTTTTTTGTAGAATCGATCAATAAACTTTTTAATGTAATTTAGACTGTGTAGCTTAGCGTAAATTTGCGAATGAACGGTTTGCAGCCCCCATTGAAAAGTCCTCCAGAGGTTTTCGTAGACGCATTTTTCTGTAAAAACTATTTGCACGTGTTTTTGTTTAGTTTTCCACAATTTATTTGAAGTTGCAGAATTTGAGTAGTACTTCAATGTATATACGGCGTCTCTGCAAAGACTGACTTAATTTATTAGGAGAGGGCACTTTTGCATTCGATAACACGTCAAGGTTGTTCATTGTCTTAGGTAGTTTCGACAATTAATATTTAAAGATTTTTATTTTTAACAACTACACGCAGTCAAAATATAAGTTAGATTCTCAAGGCATTCTTTTTTTTTCTTTCTTTTTTTCTCACAATATTTCAGTTTTCTTTTGAATGAAGTCTCTTTTTCTTCGGTGTGATAGATTGTTTGGACTTTCAATTTTATCGGCCTTTTTCTCCCCAAACTTACGTGTTAGCTTTTCGCTCTGTTCTCTTCTCTGTCTCTCTTTCCTTTTTGCCCTCTCATTTTTCGCAGGAGTTCTTCGAAGTGACTAGCACCAAAGCACCAACCTTTTTTTTACCAACCAATAAATACGTTTAAAAAGTTAATGGAGGGAAGAAAATTTCTGTTATCGATTGTTTTCTACACCGCGCCGTGAAGCCCAGATTTTGCACGATGTACTCTAGGATTTTGCTGCAGTTAAATGTTGCACAAATGGTCCAAGTATTTTTACAAACTGGATTATGGGCGCCATGCAACGAAACATTTTCACGAAAAAAATTTCATCTAATATAAAGCAACCGCATGGATATGCGCATTTCGAGAAAAGTTCGACAATGGAAAATGTAGGCAATCGAAATTAAATCACCAATGCAGAAAATGGGTGGCGCGCTATGTCAAGCAGGCTAAGATGTTTTTATGGGCCGTTTGGAGTTATTGATGCGTGGTCTGTGCAAGGAATTTGATTTCGGTCTGAATAGACATTGTTGGAGCATTTTCCCTGGCAATGATCGCATCATAGTTGCATAGTACAGGATCGCATTTTCTTCTCATTTACGTAACCAGAACGATTTTATATGCATAAACTTCGCTCGGAAAAGTTGCGCAAATTCTTGCGTATTTTTCTGACGAAGGCGGATGGATCATTTATTTTTCTTGGTGCGGGAATGTCAACGTCTCGATCTTCATTTCCCGCAGGCAAAACGTGGACTGTTGCTCTGTTTAATTACCTACCGCAAGTTCTAAGAATAGATGATCATTACAAACGAAGTGCTTTGAAGCACACAGCGATCGAATCGTTTGAAATTCCTCATATTTTTGAACTTTCGAAGAGGAGAATCCCAAGAAATTCATCTCTAATCGCCTTCAGTTTATCTTCAAGGAGCAGAATTTACATCTGAAAGAATTTTTCCTTTTAAAATGCACAAACAGAATCCCAATTATAATCAACTCAATTTTCCCCTGTTGTTTATTTTTTTTTTTAAAAAAAATTCGAAAACACTGTTGTTCATAATTTTTAAAGAGCACCTTGACCTAAAAACGGTACACGAAAAGGTCAGTAATAAGTTTAGAGTACAGAAAAAAAGCATGGCTTTAACAGAAGTATGGTCAACTCTATCACGAGCATCTCGCGGGGAAAACAAAGCCAAGAAATTCAAAAAAAATTTCAAGTAGAGTCAAAAAATGTTTTTCTCTAATGACTATAAGTGCAAGACCATGTCACATACCGTTCGGGTAATTTTTTAGTGTTTTTTTTTCTCTCTCTATCACAAGTCTACTTGTCTTTTGAGACAATGATGCTGTAGAGTGAAGATACTTACACGGATTATACCATTTTATCCGTACAAACAATATAAATTCCCAAATAAAAACTAGAAACCATTCAGAAAAATGATCCGACGTGTTTTTAATCGTTTTGAGAAATCGAGTCGGAGAGTTTAGCGCTCTCGTTTTTAAATTGTGTACGAAATAAACAAAATTTTGCTTTCCATCGACCGAAACAGGCGTCTGAAACTTATTCAAACCGAAATCATTGAATTATGACTCAATGTACTTAATTAATAGTAACAAATATGACTACTTCCTTTCTACGTATTTATGAATGAAATGAAGTCGTCTCACAAACGTGAACTAACTCAGACTGGATCCCTTCAATGATTTTCGTTTTTACTAGGTGGCGGCGACGCGACGTGGCTCCAATCGCGTAAAAGTGCCTTCAGTTACCCAGCTATGCAAAATGTCCGACAGGGAAACACGGATAGTCGTATTTTTGTTCTAATGAATACGTCGCCTGACTCAAACTTCAAAATATTGACGATTTAACAACAATGACAACAATTAGTGAGTGACGTTAGGTCCCCATTGGAAAATCCAAACGAGTCAAGCTAATCACTTCCTGCGTAAATTCCAAATTTTGGACGAAATTAATTGTGTTTTAGGTAATGCTTTTAATATAATATTTTGAAGAGGGTTACCAGGCCACTGCCCGCGTTAGGCTTATTCAGATCAACTATTTACTCGAACTTCAAAATCGCTTTGGTTTCCTTCTGCTACATGGAATTGAAATATATTGCAGATTCAGAAAATTTTCAGGTAGATCTGTACCTACCTTAAAATTTGTCAGAATCATTTAATTTTTTTTCTTCCTTTTTTTAATGTATATTTTGTAATTTTTCTTAGGGTAAATCTTTCACTCTCTTGAAAGACCCACTCTCATGCAGCGTTATACTCTCGAACTTTACTCAAGGTTCGTCAAAATTAGTTTTCTTTGATTCAATGTGAAAATGCCTCTGTAACTATCCGTTAATCGCGACGTAAGCCGTCTCGACGTAAACTTTCTCGTGGAAAAGAAATGTTTAAAAATGACCATAAATACGGGTTCGTAGCAGAACTACATGACCGAAAGGTTCTCGTTACATAAAGAGTCTTTGCAAGATAATATTCCCAAAGTTCACAATTTTTAGGGGTCGATTATTATAGTCGGAAAATGCTTATCTCCATAGTGACGATTACAAATCTCCCATTATCTTAAAATTTTACATTTTTTAAAGAGAACAGATCAAAGTATTCCCTCAATTTTTTCAGCGAGTAAAGAAATTTCATAGCAAATTTCATAAAACAATTTTAATTTGTTTCTTTTTCCACCAAAAAAAAAAAAAAAGCAG